AAAAAAGAAACCTTTTTATCAACTATAAAATCTTTATAAACAATGACAATAATAATGATGATAAACTGTCCTAGATACAACTCCATATTTTACTGTCTTTTAGAAGATTGAAAACATTTTTGTCTTCTGTTAAGTGTCAGATCCTACATTTACCTATCTTTAAAATATTTATATTTTCTTATAGAAACATGCTAGCTGCAATTTAATAATTTAGGAGTTTTTTTTAAGTGCTGCATGGCTAGACAGAAATAAGCCCCAGTAAGATAGAATTTCTGGTCCACATGCCTATTTGAAAATACCTGGAAGACTTCTCTAATGTAAGAGTTTATGATGATGACAAAGGATTTCTTGACGAAGACTGAACAAGTGCTTCAAGATTATAACTATATACGGGTTATACTACATACTTCTGTTCCACAAACCTAAAAAATATATGTCCTGTGTAGTTTCTTCTCAGCAAGAAACTTGTTTTAACCCATCAGCAGAGCAGCAAAGAGAATAGTTCTGTGCTAGTCGGATTTGTTTCCGTTAAGGTCTTTGTTCCTACTGCCCTTAGCTCCCACAGGTGTCTGTCTGTCTCCAGCTTCTTCAAAGCACTCAATCTTTGCCTCTCCAAATATTTGAATTTAACTTTGAGGACACTCATTGTGGAGGTTTTGCCTCTCTCTAGTTTATTAACTCATTTATCAAGGACAATAAAATGAGACGAAAATATAAGCTAAGCAGCAAAGTGAACATGATGAGGTAAGGAATAAATACAAAGACAAATTTTGGTAGAATTAAAATCTTTATTGGAAGCAATAAAGAACAGATTTGACAGCGCAGAAAAACATGAAATGGAGGCTATTTAGTCAGGACTGCCTAGATTTAGTGACAGAAATGTATCTCTAATTAGCTCAAGTAAAAAATAAGAATTTATTGGTTTACGTAACTGGAAAATTCAAGCAACCTTTCGGTATAGCTGAATCCAGAGGATTCACAGTGTCACCAGATAGCTGCCTGTCTCTCCATCCTTTGGCTCAGCTTGCTTCTATACGACTTCACTTTCAGAAAGACTCAGAC